GGATAGCCATTCACAGTCTTTGTTTAATCCTGATCAGGATTAAACAAAGACTGTGAATGGCTATCCAACTACAGAAACAGTTTCTCCTCCCTTGGTGTTCACACCTCAACTGCTCACCCTCCCTGATTGAACTAACCTCGTTATCTCCACACTGATATATACCTGCCTCTGGAGATTTCCATTACTTGCATCTGAAGAAGTGAGGTTCTTACCCACGAAAGCTTATGCTCCCAGTACTTCTGTTAGTCTCAAAGGTGCCACAGGACCCTCTGTTGCTTTTTACAGATTCAGACTAAACACGGCTACCCCTCTGATCCCTTTTAAAGCTTCCTCTCCAGCTGGAGAATGCTCTGAAGGCTGAGGAGAAGGGGACAGGGCTACCCGGGCCCAGTATTGTCCTTTATCCTCTTTGGGTCCCATGTAGGGTTGCCAGGCATCCGGTTTTCAACTTTGGGGGTGACCATTAAAAGTCCGGTCGGTGGCACAGCAAGGGCCCGAGGCTAAGGCAGGCTCCCTGCCTACCCTGGGTCCACATGGCTCCTGGAAGCGGCTGCCAAGTCCCTGCCACCCCTAGGCGCATGGGCGGCTAGGGAGGCTCCACATGCTGCTGCTGCCGCCCGAGTGACGGCTCCACAGCACCCATTGGCTGGGAACTGCAACTAATGGGAGCGATGGGGGTGGCACCTGGGGGTGCGACAGCAGCGCATGTAGCCTCCCTGGCCACGCATTCGCCTAGGGGCTGCAGGGACCTGGCTGCCTCTTCCTGGGAGCCGTGGTAAGCGCTGCTGGGACCCCGCATCCCAGTCCCCCTCCCGCACTCCAACCCCCTGCCCCAGCCTGGAATCCCCTCCCACACCCAAACTCCCTCCCAGAGCCTGCATCCCCTCCTGTACCCCAAACCCCTCATCCCTGGCCCCACCCCATAGCCCACACCCCTAGTCAGAGCCCTCACCCTCCTCCTGCACCCCAGCCCGGTGAAAGTAAGTGAGGGTAGGGACAGCGAGCGACGGAGGGAGGGGATATGGAGCGAGCGAGGGGAAGGGGCCTCGGAGAAGGGGCGTGGCAGGGGTGGGGCCTCTGGGAAGGGGCGGGGCAGGGATGTTTGGTTTTGTGCAATTAGAAAGTTGGCAACCTTACCCCTAGGTGGGATTTGTAAACCCCACCACACAGCCAAAACTTAAAACTGTCTTTTCTGTGCTATAACTGACTGTTTATAACATTGTATAAGAAATTCAAGTTAGGAATATATGTTTTAAGTGACAATTTGTAATTAAATAGAGATCAGGGGTTGGTGTTAATAGCTTTCAATTGTATATCTGCTTTTTTTGACTTCTGATTGCTCATGCAACCTTAACATTGCATAAATGGTGATATGTTTTACATGAAAAAAGAAGAACAGGAGTACTTGTGGCACCTTAGAGACTAACAAATTTATTAGTACATGATTGTAAATATTTCTGCTCTTCTATCAGAGTGAATATTATTTTATATGTCCTTTGATTGGCAATCACTTAAAAAAGGCCTACACTAGAAACTATTGCTGGTATAGTCAGTTAGGGGTGTGTAATTTTTTTTTTTTTTGTCAACTGGTACAAATCCTAGTGTAGATATAGTTTTACGAGCATAAAGTTATTTTGCTGGTGTACCTTATTTGGCTTGGGGAACTCATACAAGCTATCCCTGCAGGAGCACTTTTTTGCAGATAGAAGCTGTGTCTACCTTAGGAGACTTTGCCATTATAGCTGTAACAGTATAGCTATATCAGCAACCCTTTTCTAGTTAGACTAGTATGTTCTAGATTCTTCCATCCTTATTTCCCTTCAGTAATACCCTGCTCAAGTTTAATCAGTGGGTCAACTTGAGGTGAAAAGTATTGCCCAATATGGGTAAGAGTAGCAGAATCTGACCCTATACATTTAATAATATTTGGTGGCCACTATCAGCAGTTCAGTTTCCTTGGCAGAAGTTTCTCCCCTTGGCTAAAGAAGAGCCTATGTGTTTCCTTGTGTTCTCCCGATTATATGGAGACAGAACAGCAGCAGAGAACAGCTGCAAAACAGGCAGCAAATCCAGAAAAAGCTGAACATTTATTTTAAGCAGCTGTGTTAGGAATGGCAGACAAGTTTGACAAGGCTCTTCTCTTTGGGGTTTGTAGCTTTTTTACATTATGAGAAAAAAAGTTATTTTCCCTCCTTTTGGATTTGGTTACTCAATGCACTTAGCTTAATTTGCAGCCTCTGGACTATTTAGGAGATTCACTGATTCTGGAATATGCACGTAATGAAAAAGGATCAGTATAAGACCCTCTTTCAGAACATTTTTTATAGTAAAATTTCAGGACATAAACATATAAATTAATATAGATCTATGTGGGGTGGCCAGGTGCCCAGTGTTCAACTGAAAAGTCTGGTTGACAGTGTCTGGTCAGATATACTGACTGGATACCCAAAGACCGATTACTGCGGGTTGGGTAGGTAGGGAGGCACTGGGTCATCACCCATGCCAGCCTCTACTCAGCTAGGACCGCCTCCTATCTGCGTTGGGCAGTTGCAGCTCCCAGCCCCGACTCTGCAGGCAAGTCCCTCCTGACCTAGGTGGGCGGGGGAGAGGGGAAGAGGAGCGAACAGGGGGCGGGGCTTCAGGAGAAGGGCGGGGCAGGGCCTTGGGGGCAGAGGCGGGACCGTGGGGAAAAGAGGCGTGGCAGAAAAGGGCCTCGGGAAGAAGAGGTGAGACAGGGGAAGTTCCGCCACTCTTGCTGGAGTGTCCAGTTTTAAAATATTACAAAACTATCAACCTTAGATCTGTGGATGGTGTCAGACTCTATTGATATCTTATATAAAAAAGATAGTATTGTCATTTTTATGTTAGATAGTTAGAATTCAGTTATTTGAAGTCCAAAGGAGGACTTTTTTTTCTTTAGCATTTTAAAAGTATAGTCAGTTGGCTTCTTCTGGAGAGGCCTGTTCTTTCGTTAACATTCTTAACTGATACAGTCAGCATTTATTTACTGAAGTGATCTGCCTGCCTCCCCATGAGATTCCTGAATGGTCCCACACAACTCCATTTGTTCTGCCATACCTCAAAAAAAGTCTCAGATTCAAATATTATTTTTACAAAATGGATGCAGTGAAACAGGAAAATTAATTCCATCTTAGGTCCTATTCACATCCAACTTTGAAGTCCTGGCTGATGTTAACAGAACGATAAAAGAGTCAGAAAACTTAGTTACATGATCCTTATATAAATCTCACTGCAGCCTACCTATTTTATCTATGTTTACCTATTTTAAGTATCAGTACTGTTCCCTGGGAATTTGTTATGAAGTAAAAGCCTAAACAGAAAACTCTTCCCAGACCAGTAAGAAATATTTAAACACTTCAGGCATTCAGTCTGTGATTCAGAGATTTATTTATAAAACTGTTGATTTTGGGACACCAAACCATTGCATTTAAACTGCAGAAGTGAGTCATATTTGTGGGAGGTAATTACTACCAGAAAGTACAACTAACTTTTTCTGTAAAATGTCCACTTATGATCTGCATGTACTAAAAATAACTTGCTTTGTTAAATTTTCAGTAAAAGTTAGCTTTACAGAGTCATGTGGCTTTATTCATATAGTTTATGTGCATGACACATGATAAAATCAATTATACATATTTATAGATCTATACTTGGAAAAGTATTTGTGTTTTATATAGAGGAGGCTACCCAGATAATTGACACAGCTTATATGTACTTCAAGGAGTTCTAATGACATTGTTGTAACCATAAGAGCAAGGCCACTTGTGATGTCAACAATGACCACAGCTAACATTTACAAAGGTAGTATTTGTTCATCATAAAATTCCCTGGGTTGCTTGCACCATCAAAATGTAGAACCAAAATTCTGTCTTTGGCAAAATATGGTGACATAGCCAGCAAAAATTTTCCTCTTCAGCTAGTGGACTGAGAAGCCAAGGGAGCTGCAGATATCCAGCACCTGCAGAGGCTACTTGCACTCCTGAGATGGCACTTTCCTCATTATCCTTTGGTCATGACTGAGGAATGCAAATTTATTTAGCTATGGTCACACATCATAACTCCCTACCAGGAGAGCAATCAGATGCCATGCTACCCATCCCAATGGCCATATATTGCAATAAGGGTCACAAGAATAATGTCATCCCTCCTCATGCACTAATATATGGGGCAGCTTTTCCAATGTTAGATAGGAATAAATTCAAAATGGGCCACAGCCCAAAGCACCTCTTCCCTTGCTAGTGGCTCAGAAATTGAGTTGTCAGCCCAGAAGCTGGCGTCCAGTTCTTAAGACTGTGATCACCTTTCCCATAAAAGCTTGAAATTATGAGGCGAGCTCTTCCTCTCAGAAGTGTGTGAGTATTCCTCTCCGCACTGCCAGCAGCAGAGTCACTGGGAAATAGTTTATTTCCTGCCGTACTCCTCCCTGCCATCCAGGGCCAGCCTTGGGCGCAGGTGATCAGGGCAGCCAACTTCTGGGAGTACCAAATAAGGTTTTGAGGGCACTAAAAAAGTTTTCCATTCTAGTAAACCAAAACACCTAGGGCTGGGCCTGCTGCCATCTGATGATGATCAGGTCTTTCTCCTGTTTTTCCTACCCCACCACGGAGAAATGCAAGTTGAACAAATTGAGGTCTAGGACAGTTGGAACTCACAAATTCGATAGTGTCAATGGGGGAACAGTCCAGCACAGGGTGAGTGGCATGTTGGAGACAGAGAGCTCAATTTGTCAGGAACTCAGCTGCCTTTGGGCTTGGCCACCTAGCAAACAAATGAGCTCGTCTGTGCCCAATAAACCCTCACTAAGTGACTGTGCTCCCTGATTGGTCAGAAGAGCCAACAGATCACCATTTAAGTGTTGTAGCAATAGCAGCACAGTGGCTGCTCAATGCATTCTGCAGCCGCAGCTCTGCCATACCTGTTTCCTGCCCGGCCCTTACTCCAACCCTTGCCTGCTCTGTTCCAGACCTAGTCCTTGCCTACCTCTGAACTGATTTCTGACTCCTGGCTCTGACCACTGGCTTGTCTCCTGACCAGGACTTCAGCTCTGCCCTTTGGTTCTGTTCTGGCTCCTGATTCCTGGCTCTGACCATTGGCTTGTCTCATGACCACGACTCTGGTTCTGCCCTCTGATTCTGCTTTGAGCACTAGGCCAGACTCCCCTCCAGAATGGTCACAGCAGGAGCTCAACCCACCTTCTCAGATGTTGTTGAGGTCCTGCGAAACTGCAGGCTAATGTTGCCTCACTATGGTTCTCCAAGTCCAATACAAATCCAGGCACTGTCTTTTGTCCCCCCAGCTCTCTTATCCATTGTCCCTGAGCCCAAGTTGCCCCTACTCTATAAGTTCAATGTGGATTATGCCAAGTTTTATGGGTTCCTTAACCAATGTTGTTTCCAGTTTGTGTCAGTGCCACAGTCATATCCCACAGATCAGTCCCAAGTGGGATTAATATTTAGCATTGTCACCAGAGAAGCCCTGAAGTGGGCGTTCCTGATCCTGGAAGGGTCCAGTTCTCTCCTTGAACACTTCAAGAGCTTTGTACAGACAGTGGTGGGCATCTTCAAGAATGTACCGCAGATGCTAGTCTCTATGCCATCTGGCAGGTTGCCAGGTCCAATGCCAAATATTCAGCAGAATTTTAATGGCTGGCCACAGACACCCACTGGAATGAGGCTGTGACCTATTTGAAGCCCCAATCTACCAAATCCTAAGAACCAGCAGTGCTTCCTTGGATTCAAGTTTTCATCTACAACAAGGCCTCCTTTTTCACAAGGATTGTCTCTACATTCCCAAGGGCAGCTCCTGGCTTCAGGTGCTATGGTTATGCCATGATTTGCCCAGCCAGTTTGCAATCTGGAACCTGATCGATATGTACTTCTGGTGGCAAACCCTACAAACTAGTATTTAAATCTATATTAGGTCTTGTGACCTCTGTGCCCATATGAAAAAACTGCGAGCCAAGCCTGTGAGCCTCCTTCAGCACCCTCACACACCTCCATGTCCTTTCTCCATCCTCTCAATGGACTTTACTGTTGAGTAACCATGCTCCCAAGGACACTCAGTTATCCTGACCTCCTAGCCAAGATGGCCCATTTTATTCCCTGCCACAGTGTTCCATCTGCCCATGGAACTGTGCAAGCCTTCCTTGAACATATCTTCTGCTACCATGCATCATTTTGGTTCGATACCCTCAGTTCATTTCTTGGTTCTGGCAGGAATTTCTCTGCCTTTCTTGGCACCAAGCCCCTCACCTCGATAGCCTACCATCCGCAGGCAATTGGCCAAACTGAAAGTAATTCAGATCCTGGAGCAGTACCTCTGCTGTTTCCTGGATTCCCATATGATGATTGGCTTCCATTGCTCTGTTTCGCTGAGTTCACATACAACTACTCAACACATGCTTCAACTCAACAGACCCCATTCTTCACAAATTTTGGTTTTCATCCCCAATTCCATCCAGATCTGCCCAAAGGCTCCACTGTTCCAGTGGCTACAGACTTAGTCGACTACCTCCAGCAAACACACCAGGGACTCAAGGAGCACTTACTTGCCACTAAAGAAACATATAAGCCGACTGAAGGTGACAAGCCATCCCTAACCTTGGAGTAGGGGATAGACTCTTGACTCAAAACCTGAGAATGGGCCATCTTTTGTCCACGCTTGTCCACTAATACCTGGGTCCTTTTCAGAATATTGAACAAATAAACTCCGTGACCTTAAAGTTTCAACTGCCAGAATCCCTCAAGATTCACCCTGACTTCTATGTTTCTCTCCTTAAACCGTTCATCAACAACCTCTTCCCTGACTGGGTAAACACTTCTCCACCCTCTTTAATTGTCCATGGACAGGAGGAATAAAAGTCCATCAGGTCCTCAACTCCAAAGGCTCTGGGGGAAGCTCCAGCATCTGACACACTGGAAGGGGTACAGGCGAGAAGAGAGGTCCTGGGCACCAGAAGAAAATGTTTACGCTCCCTATCTCCTATGGGAATGTCACCAAAGATATTCTCACAAGCCAGGACCAAGGGTCCCTAGGAGGAGCCCTTGGGGAGGGGGTATTGTCAGGAACTCAGCTGCCTCCAGGCTTATTCGCCTAGCAACCAAATGAGCTCAGCTCGTCTCTTGATTGCAACTCCAGCTTTGCTCTTTGGTTCTGTTCCAGCTCCTGACTCCAACCATTGGTTTGTCTCCTGACCATGACTGTGATTCTGCTCTGACCACTAGGTCAGACTCCTGCTCTGACCACTAAGTCACACTGCCTACACCTCAGTGTGTGACACAGATATACATGAGCTCTCCTTCTTGAGCAGCTCCTTGGCTATCCCAAGCTGAGTTGGAGAGATTGGGATTTACCTTTCCATAGCTTTCTGAGTTGTAGACACGCCCTGAGGACATCTTATTGTTGGCTGGGTTTGACCCTTAACTTTTAACTTCCCCTCTTTGGGCAACTCTACCCTACTCCACCCCTGGCTCTCTGTCAGCCAAGTACTTAGTTTATTTTTGTGGATTTTATTTCTCTTCTCTAGTGTCAGATTTTAAATTCTATCTGGCTGTGGTGAATCAGCTGCTCCTAGACAGATCTTTTTGTTTTCTCTTCACCACTTCACTGCATCTCACACTTAGCAATGGTTTGTTCCTATTATGTGTGCTCCCTCTGCTGATTGGATGCTATTTTGATACACCCAGTTAGGGAGAAGAACCAGTGGATGCAGGGGTGAAAGTAACATTAAGCACTTACTGGTATGGGGGCCAGCTCCGTCCCCGGAAAGGGCGGGGCCTCAGGCAGAAGGGGCAGGGCTGAGGATCAGCATCCCCCAGCCAGCCCATCCACACTGCCTGGCCCGCGCCACCCGGGGCTCCAGCGGTGATTTAAAGGGCCCGGGACTCTGGCCGCTGCTGTGGTAGAGGCAGCAGTGGTTGGAGCCCCAGGCCCTGTTAAATCGCGGCCCCGGGACAGCTGCTCCTTTTGTCCCCTCCCCCCTGCCCTTCCGGTCAGCGGCCCAGGGGGCAAAGGGGGCAACGACGTTAAAGCGCTGCCATCAGCTGGGTACGGGACAGTACTGGCGGCCACTTTTTACTGGTATGCTGTACCGGTCCATACTGGCTTACTTTCACCCCTGAGTGAACGTCACCCAAATCTTTAGCAGTTTTTAGTGCAGTAGTTTGAAAGTTCAGAAAAGATAAGGAATATCACAAATCAACTTTGAAATTAACTTGGAAATATCTTTTCATTTATTTATAAAATGCAATTTTGAGTTGTATTATTAGTAGTGGCCATCTTGCTAGCAAAAAAATCTACTGAAGGGCCTTGTGTTGAATTCAGTGGCATAGGAAAATAGGAATTGTGATGTTGGATCAGATCAATAGGCCACCTAGTTCAGTATCTTCTCTTTGATAGTGATCAATCCTAGATGCTTCAGAGGATGACATAGAACCTCATAATAGAAAATTATGCAATAACATGCTTATGCGGATTTCTTCCTAATTTCAGGCAGTTAGTACTTGAAGCATGAGTCTTCATATGCCTTCTGATTTCTTTTATCCTATCTAATGTAACTTGAATATCCTTAATATTTATAGAAATGCCTAATCTTTTTTAAAACCCTACTAAAATCTATACCTCAGTAACATCTTGTGACAGTAAGTTCCCAAGCTTAATTATCATTAGATAATAAAAGTATTTCCTTTTATCATTTAAAATGGATGCCTTTTAATTCCATAGGGTGTCCCCTTGTTCTTGCATGATGATGAATCCTTTGTCTTTGCCTGTGCCCAGATCTCTTGCCCCAGCAGAAAGGTCAGATGCTTCACCCAGACTAGAAATCTCTTTATCTGATCGCTTGGTTGATAGCTTATTAAAAAGGGAATACTTCTATTTCTCAGTGAAAGTTGCTGCTGTGCTTGTGGAATCACAAAAATATTCCACCAGATAGTCACATGTCTGTAAATGGAAATGGTTAAAAGATTTGGTCTGGAGAACTTCGAGATGACTCCAGTCTCTTGTCCTTTTACAGCCATTTTAGAATTTTCTTTGTCTTTCACAGATTTAGGATCACCCTGGGATCCAACCAGATGATACTTTGCATGTACATGGGCAAAACAAAGCAGTTTGGTCTTTTGTCATACAAACAGTATATTAAGGGTTTGAATGTATATTCAAAGCTAAAACCCGGTGATCCAAGGGATTGAAAGCTTGGTTCTTACAAGGTTCATGGAGGCTCCTCTTGATGTTCTTGACTTCTACTTCTGTCATTGAAGGTTTTTTTCCCTTGTGACTAGAGCATCTCTCAGGAGCATTTCAGAACTGTGGGCTTTGTTGCAGATCCTCCTTATACACATTTTCACAAGGATGAAGTACTCTTAAGATCTCATCCCAGAATCTTGACTATAGAGGCCATGGATTTTCATTTAAATCAGACCTTTTTGACCAGTATTTTCTAAGCCTCCTGATTTTGCAATCCACCTTAATCTGTACACCTTGCATATTAAAAGGGCTCTCTGTTAATTCCTCAATAGGACAAAGCCTTTTAAAAAGGCCTCAAAATGGTTTGGGGCTTTTGGTGGAAGAGGTAAGGGCCAATCAGTTTTAGTCCAGATGCGATCTGAATGGATCAAGACAGGATATGATCTTGATGAAGTAACTGTACCTTTGACTCAAACCTCTTCTACTATTGGGATTTGGGCGAAAGTGGCAGCTTCTGCAGCATTTGTTCACTGAGATCTGCTGGCTGCTACTTGGTGCTCAGATCATACATTTGCAAAGTATTATTTTGTCCATACCAAGTCCAGATCAGAATGGATGTTCCATTTGGAAGAGCAGTGTGTCAGTCACTTTTCACATGAGTCTTCCTCCTCAGTCCTCGTCTTGAGGATTGCCACTAGTTGCTAGTATATTCAGTGGGGATCTACAGAGGCAATGTCATGAAAGAATAAAAGAGGTTACTACTTAATTTGTTTTCCTAGGGCCTGACCCAAAGCCTATTGGAATCAATGGGTGTGTTACAATTAACAGACTTGTTTGTGATGTCACTATTGCTTCAAAACAAAACCTTGTTCTACAATGTAACTGCTTATTCACAGTAACTAATTGAAATAATTGAACTATTTAAAACACATTTTTCTAAAACACCAAAAGGGTTTACTCCATAAGAAAGGTGCCTGCAAAAATTATATATATTTTAATAAGCTTTTTTTAGTATAGATATTTGCCTTTTTTAAAAGCATCTGAAACGAAGTCCAAATTACATTTGTGTAGCTCTGAACTCACTTCTTTTAAGTGTTTATAGGGGGAATCAGCAGCAGTTCCAAGTCTGTTCCTTCCAGCATGATTCACCTTCATAGTAGGAATTCTCAGGAGATGTAGGATTGGAGTGGGGATTACTCAGAGAAGAAGTGGCCCTATATTAGCCGTAAAAAGAAAGAAATTTTAATAAAACAATTTGCAATCCAAGCCAAGGATTTGTTTGCCAAATTTTAGTCCAATGAGAGTTGAAATGGCCAAGATATTTAATGACAACAATTGAGGTTTGTAAGGGAAATACCAAATCAACCTTGGAGTGAAAATAGGCAGACATCGAATTATAGAGCAAATAATGCATTTGCTTTGTAGGTGCAGAAATAAACAAGCTATTTGAAGAAAAACAGGAAAATAAGGCTAGTAGTTGTCAGTTTGATTCAAAGGTATAAGCAAAAAGGAGCAAAAATGAAATAGAACTGTGGAGCAATGTATATTGAGCATAAATGAACATTTTCCACACCCAGTAAGGTATGTGGGACATTTGCCCAGAGGAACAGTCCATGGGAGTAATGCTAGGAAGTGCTGAGAAGGTGCCCAAAAATGTTGCTTTATCTCATCACGTAAAGACTTCAAAAATAGCCTTGATTTTTTTTTTATTTCAGCAAATGCCAAAAAAACCCAGAAATACTAATTTATAAAATTGTTTTAGTTGGGTACAATGTAGAGCCTATAAACTTCTCATTGGCTGTTTTCTGGTAATTTCTCCATATGGTGTACACCCTTTATAAATTATAACAGCATGCACTTGAATCCAACAGTAGATAACTGACTACATAGGGCCAGACCCTGATACCCTTACTCAGGTTGAACAGTACTTTACTCCAGGAGTAGTTCCACTGAAGTCAACAGACTGTTCATACAGTGGGGTGCTACTAAACTGGAATAAGGGTGTCAAAATCTGGCCTGTAATATTAAACCGCTGTCACTTCAGTTTATAAAGTATGAAAAAAACAGAGCACTTTACGTGAATTGACCTATTTGTCTTCTGCCCTACAAAGTTGAATGTATTTCAGCCAGAAGAAACAGTTATGCTTGAAAAACCACTTCTCAGAATTATTAGGTTTATTTTTTAGTGGATTTTGCCAATCCCAGATTTGTAATGGACTATCAGGGTGGTCATAGTGCACCGTTGCCAAATCACAAACACTAGTCCCTGTACAACCGCAATCTACAGAGAGCTTGCTCAAGCAATTTCTGCACCACAATGTTGATATTTTCTTAAAGTCATCAACAGCGACTGGCCAATCAATAGCAATAATGGTTGGTCTGTTCTATTTAGAATAGCTATGAATGGTTGGCTTATTGTTTTAAAATTGCTAGCCCATTGCTTTTGAATTCCTGTTCAACTCTGCAGAAGTCATGACACAGCAGATTATTTCTGTGGTCTCCACTCTATGTAACTTAAATAAAAAGAAGAACAATCAGCTAATATATGTATACAACATTCATATTTATATATAGTCACACCTACCTTTCAAAATGGCCCTAGGCATTTTGTATCTAGCTGTAGTTTTGCTTATTTCATTTTATTGTTTTCTATTCTTTCTGAATGTTTTTTTTCTCCTATAAGATTTTTATTCTGTCTTCATTTTTAGTTTAACTATTAGAGGAACTTCGTTATGAGTGAATTTTTAATTCCATGATGCATAGAATCACAGATTGTTCCTGTTTTGCTCAATCAGTATATAAACTGCAGTTTTAACCTACCAAATAAAATCATTCATGAGTTTTCCTGATGAAATGATCTGTAATAGTTTGAATACATTATTCAACTTTTCTTATATGGTGTCTTTGCTAGAGGTAAATAAAATATCATAGATGTACTCTTAGCTGTTGTAGCTAAGGCTGTCAGCATTACAATCCACTACTTTCAGGCTTTTATAACTCAGCCATAAAAGTGCACTCTAGGCTGAAATTTGGCACACATGGTCTGAGCCTGGCAATGAATCTATTTTACAAAATGTGAATAATGCAATTATCTGTTTGGCTGTGTTAAAATTGTTTAGGATCTTAATACATGAGGAGGGCTGCATGGTGAGGCCTGCAACGTGTCTGCCTGCCCTGTGCATCACTCTAGTCCAGGGATGGCCAACCTGTGGCTCCGGAGCCCATACGGCTCTTCAGAAGTTAATATGCGGCTCCTTGTATAGGCATTGACTCCGGGGCTGGAGCTACAGGCACCAACTTTCCAATGTGCCGGGGGTTGCTCACTGCTCAACCCCTGGCTCTGCCACAGGAGCCCCTCCCCGGCCCAAACAGAGCCCCGGCCTGGACCTGCTGCGGCTGGGGGGAGGGGGTGGGGGAGGGGGCACCTATCCTGCGATCCCAGCCCCAGAGCTGCCGCAGCGGGGAGAGGCGCCTCTCCCCCCCAGCATAGGTGCTGCTGCAGGGAGAGAGAGGTGGGGGGAGTCTCTCTCCCTGTCATAGCCCCAGGGCAGCATGCACCCCAAACCCCTCATCTCCAGCCCCACCCCAGAGCCCGCACCTCCAACTGGAGCCCTCACACCCATGCATCCCAACCCTCTGCCCCAGCCCTGAGCCCCCTCCCACACTCTGAACCCCTCAGCCCCACCACATGCATTTTCTTATGTGCATCAATGCGGAGGTGATGTGTCACACCTCACCTCCATATTGGTGCACATAACAAAATTCACTCCGCACATAGAATCATAGGACTGGAAGGGATCTCAAGAGGTCATCTAGTCCAGTCCCCTGCACTCATGGCAGGACTAAGTATTATCTAGACAATTCCTGACAAGTGTTTGTCTACCCTGCTCTTAGAAATCCCCAATGATGGAGATTCCACAACCTCCCTAGGCAATTTATTCCAGTGCTTAACCACCCTGACAGTTAGGAAGTTTTTCCTAATGTCCAACCTAAACCTCCCTTGCTGCAATTTAAGCCCATTACTTCTTGTCTTATTCTCAGAGGTTAAGAAGAACATTTTTTCTCCCTCCTCCCTTTTACGTATTTGAAAACTGGTATCATGTCCCCTCTCAGTCTTCTCTTTTCCCTCTGGGGCACCTGGCATTGGCCACTGTCGGAAGATAGGATACTGGGCTAGATGGACTTTTGGTCTGTCTCAGTATGGTTGTGCAGTCCCAGCTGTGCTTGAGCTGTAGGAATTTTGATACTGACGGGCAAATTTCTCAAGGCCTGTGTGAAAAGGGCTATGATTGGGACACGCTGCACTGGAGAGCAAAGATAAAGGAATTGAGGCAGACATACCATAAGGTGAGGGATGCTGCACCAGAGACCTGCTAGTTCTATAAGGAGCTGGATGCTATCCTCGATGGCAACTGCACCTCCACTGCCAAGAGCCCAGTGGATACTTCGGTGGGCCTGGAGGCAGCAGAAAGAGGACCTAACCTGGAGGACGAAGTCATTGATGAAGAGGTGGAGTTAGACAATGATGTGCAGCTCCCAGTGGGGTTGCCTGGTGAGGCAGGCAGTCAGGAATTGTTCACCACTCTGGAGGTGTCTAGCCAGTCTTAGCAGTTGCTCTCCAGCAAACAAGAAGCAGGAGAGGAGACACTTGGTAAGTGGCTGTGGTGTGTGTAGTGCAGAGGTGGGTTCAGGATACAGAAACGTACAAGGCCAACTGTGTTTCTGTGTGTTGGACATTTCCCTGTGCAGCTAATCAGTACAATGGAACAGGGTGTTGATGTATGTCGACATCTCACGGGAATCCTCCAGAGAGATCTCTAGCAAAGTTTCCTGGAGGTACTCGGCAATCCTTGCAATCCTTGCTTTGTTCCTTCCCCCATTGTAGGAAATATGCCTGCGCCATTCGGCAATCATTTGTGCAGGGACCAAAGCAGCACACAGGTGAGCAGCATAAGGACCTGGGCGGAAGCCAGAAATGTGTAGTAGATGTACCCTCGCTTTCCTGCTTATCCTCAGCAGTGAGATATCTGCTACAATGATCCCCGCCTGTGGAAAAGTGTGGGACAATTTTAGAATTTTTTCCGTAGTCAGCTGCACCGCAACCCTTGCAGAATGCTCGTTTCCCGATGTAGAGCATCCCACCCCCCGCCAACACTCACCATGCTTTGGGTGTTCGCCAAGATGTGGGCTTGCCAAGGGTCAGTGAGAAAGTGATTGTTCTGTTACCAGAGGTATATTGCACTGAAATGTTTCAATACTGTGCGTGAACAAATCATGCTTCTGTGCATTGTTCCTTCTGCTTTGGCAGATGTGGCCTTGAGGAACACCCCATACACACTGGCTGAGCATCTTCACCAGATAAGAAAGTCCCCAAGATGGAGCAAAGAAGACATGTTCCGGTAGGGTGACCAGATAGCAACTGTGAAAAAACGGGACAGGGGATGTGGGGTAATAGGCACCTGTATAAGAAAAAGTCCCCAAAAATGGGACTGTCCCTTTAAAAATGGGACATTTGGTCACCCTATGTTCCGAGAGGTACTGCACTTCTCCAATGCAGAGAAAAGGGAACACAAAGAATGGAGGGAAGCCGAAAGGCAGGACAGAAAAGAAAGTCAGGAGTTTAAGGATGCTACTGAGTGGATGATTAACATCATGGAGGAGAAAATGCAGATGCTGAAGTCTTTAATAATGCTTCAGACTGAGCAGATGCATGCCCACCCTCCCCTGCAGAACATTCAGAACTCTTTTCCATATCCCCCCACCAAACTCCGCCTGCTCAGTCCTTTCTGCTTTCTGGGACTTCTTGGTTTCCCCTTCACTCCACCCCCTTGGACAACTTTCAAAATGATAGCTGGACCTACACATAGCTCTGAAAGTCTGCCCTTCCCTAGTATCTTGTTTCCACCACGTGTCTTTGTGTGGTGTGTGTTGTTTCTTGTGCAATAAAAATAAAGTTTTTGAATGGTAACTCATCTTTATTTGTTTCCTACAAATTGAGATAGCAGGCACTACCAATATATAGACAGACAGTTTAATCATTTGCTTACTGGAATGTAAGGCCCCAAATTTCACCATTGCTTCCTAGGAAAACTACATGTAATGTAACATTGCAGCACCAATCATAGAGATTTACTAGTTCTCATTTTCAAAGTGTTTCCTCAAAGCCTCCCTGATTCAAATTGCCCCCCTCTGTGCCCCTCTGATAGCCCTGGTATCTGGCTGCTCAAAATCAACAGCCAAGCAGTCTGCCTCAACACTCCACCCCTGAGCACACCTTTCGCCCGTAGCTTCACAAAGATTATGCAACATACAACACGCGGCTTTGACCATGGGAATATTATCCTCATTGAGGTCTAACCTGACATAAAAGCATCGCCAGCACGCCTTTAATCTGCCAGAGGCACATTCCACTGTCATCTGGCACCTATTCAACCTATTGTTGAACTGCTCCTTACTACTGTCCAGGTTTTGTGTGTAAGGTTTAATGAGCCATGGCTGTAAGGGATACGCAGGGTCTCCCAAGATCACTATGGGCATTTCAATATCCCCCATTGTAATCTTCTGGTCTGGAAAGAAAGTCCCTGCTTGTAGCTGTCTATATAGGTTGGTGTTCCTGAAGATGCGTGCGTCATGTACCTTCCCAGACTACCCCGCATTGATGTCAGTGAAACGCCCATGGTGAGCAACAAGTGCCTGCAACACCATGGAGAAGTACCCCTTCCTATTAATGTACTCTGTCACAAGGTGGTCTGGTGCCAAAACTGGAATATGTGTACCATCTATCGCCCCGCCACAGTTAGGGAGACCCATTTCTGCAAAGCCATCCACTATTTCACGCACATTTCCCATAGTCACAGTCCTCCGTAGGAGGATGTGATTAATTGCCCTGCACACTTGCATTAACGCAGCCTCAATAATCGACTTCCCAACTCCAACTTGATTCGCAACCAACTGGTAGCAGTCTGGAGTCGCCAGCTTCCACATAGCGATTGCTACATGCTTCTCTACTGATAGGGCAGCTCTCATTCTGCTGTCCTTGCACTGTAGTGCTGGGGTGAGCTCCACACACAGTTCCAGGAAAGTGGCTTTCTGCCTCCAAAAGTTCTGTAGCCACTGCTCATCATCCCAAACCTGCATGATGATACAATCCCACCATTCAGTGCTTGTTTCCTGAGCCCAAAAGCGACGGTCCACTGTCTGCAGCTGTTCTGTGAATGCCAAAAGCAATCTAAAGTTGCTCCTATCCATATCATACAGCATGTCAGGCAACTGGGAGTGTTCTTCAGTTAGGGACTTCGTGATTAACTGCACTGCCATCTGCGATGTCTTAATGACAGTTATCAGAGCATAGGAGAGTAGTGTGGGATCCATTCCTTCTCACAAAGATGCTGAGATATACAGCAAACAAGGGCTGTTGAAAATACTGCAAAAGAAAGCTGGAAGCCCATGGAATGCTGTGACAGAAAACAGTGCATCATGGGACATTGAGCCTGGTTCCAAGATGCGCTGCGATCTGCTCCACCTTCCCACAAGACCTAGTGACAGAAGGTGTTGAGCTGGACTGTGGGATAGGTACTCTAGTTTCAAGAATACATTTCCATTCTTTTAATTTCTGATAAAACTGCAGAACTGAGTTAGCTCTAGATGAATGAGCCAGATCCTATTCTGGCTCATCACTCCAACTAGTCCTCACTTATCAAGGTATAATACCACTCATTCTTCTGAATCAAAATAAGAAGGATAAAGAGGCTTTACATACAGACCTCTGGACAAATCACTTAGTCTCTCTGTGCCTCAGTTCCCCATCTGTAAAAATGGGAATCATAATATTTCCCTACCTACTGGGGATGTTGTGATGATACATACATTAGAGATTGTGAAGCACTTTTAGGTCTACTGATGAGAAGGGCTATATAATTCTAGATATTATTATTACTTAGAGTGACAATTGTCACTGACTTTCTTTCCATAAAAAAACCAATGGCGGAAGTGCCAGCTAGCAGACGCTGATGAAAATGTAATGTTAGCAGAAAGTTTGCATCACAGAATCAAAATAATAAAATGCATTAATAGCAGAAAAGGGTAAAGCTGTATCACTCAAAAACTTAAGTAGAGTTCTGTCAAATTGTTAGATTGAGTCTGGAATCAGAATGGATACCTACCTTGTTGTGGAGTTATTTGTGTGCAGTTAGGGAGACAAGATGTTTTTATCTATATTGCAACCCCTAAAATGATTGGCTAAATTCAAGGAATGAGAATATAAGTCTCAAGTGACAAATTGCATAAAAAACTCTTTTCAGCATTCTTGGAACTCTCTCTTTGATTATATGAGGTAAGAAAATGGTTTGACATGTTGAAGAAAATGGATTGATTGTATAATTTTTTTTTCCTACCGAGGTTCCCCCCATTTGGATTTAGTGCTTGTGTAAGTTGCTGGATAGACTGCTCTAGAAAATTAGTCTTCTGATTATACACAGATCAAATTCAGCAGCAGTAGACACTTCCCCATACAGTTCTGCAAATGGGGCCTCAGCCATGGTCTACAGAACCAGCTTTGGAGGTGAAAGGCTCCTATAGTTCTCATGGCCTGTTAAACTCCTGGCTTTATCCTGAGAATACCAACAAGAATTCCAATTGTGACGGGGTTTTTGTGATGCATGTGAACACTTCTGACCGGTGTCATTGATTTGGCAGGGTGCATTCTTCCAGCCACCCACTGGACTTCTGTAAGACGAATCCAAGCCTCTGTGATCCTGGATCCAGGGACAGTGGGTATCACAGGCCAGGGAAGTCTGAGCCTTCCCTGGCCTTGGCTGTGGTCCTGGTGGGGGCTCAGTTCCAACCACGGCCTTGAGCTCCAGGCTCAACTGGGACTGGCAGTGGTGGCTTGGGCTGGCTGATGGGAGTTGGGCCAGCTGGTGCAGCCCAGGGCAGCTTGGAGGCCGGACCAGTCAAGGCAGCTCAGGTCAGTTGGCACAGCCCGGGGCAGCTTGGGCCAGCCTGGGGGATGGGGCGAGCCAGTGTGGATGGGGTGGGCCAGCCAGTGTGGCACGGGCCACGGGGGGCTCAGGGCTCTGGCCATAGTGGGTAGGGAGGGCTCAGGGGTAGGTTCTCAGATGGAAGAGGTGGGGCCGGCGGGCTACCCTCCCTGAAGGGGGACGGGGGGTTCATCTGCCACCTATGTCTGGATCACCTGGGTATTTTAAGATTACAGAGCCTGAACATAGTCTAGCCACTGCCCCGATCTTGGGGTCTCTAGGCACACTCCCAGGGCACAGACTTTCTATCTGGCACCCATGTCTGAGAGCTGGAACCAGCTGGTGCAAAGGCGACTTCAAACTCCCTCGTACTTGAACTCACCTGCTCCCAGAACTCCACCCCAAAGATGAGAAGCTTCTGGTTACAGTTTAATTCTCTCCAGGGCACATAGCAATTGTGAAGCAGTTAACACACACTCACACACTTTGGACAGAGTAATACATTTGTGCTCTTTTACTTAATGATACAGAGCACAGGAGAGTACAGATTATATAAAACAATAAATACTACATGCATATCACAGCCTCAGTTTCCTCCATACCAGGGCATTTTGGGGGCTGCGGTCAGAATCCCTTGGGTTGTCCAGATCCTTCTGCTTCAGTGCATAGCTCGTGGGCAGCAACATGAAGCCTTCTGCCTACATAAGCTTGCTTCCTTTTCCTTTGACCACTTCCTTCTTCCTATCTGGCCCCTTGTTCATGGTCACCTTTGTTCTGTTGCTAGTAAGTTTCCACGGCTCCTACCATTTCCCGCTCTCCAGGGGGTTAAGCTAAACTGGTTTTCTAAGAATGCAGCTGCTTTTTAGCATAACCTTTGTGAGGTCTAAGTATCATTGTTAACATAAAGTACTCCCCATTGTCCATGTCTGGCATGAATACATTTCCAGGGGTTGGGTGCTTATAATCAGTTACTTTCTATATTCAGCCCTGTATTTGTACATGTTGGGACTTCATCCCAAAATGGAGGCAATCAGACAATAGAGAAGGCAAAAAGCTGCACATTCGGAATGGAGAATTTAGTCTGACACAGATACAGAGTTCACAATTCATAAACTGTACAGACAGATTCTCAAATCATCACAACAGCAACTCTGTTCACATGGACCCTGAACAGCCACCAGATGGTAACAACTTTTGGTTACTACCAATAACTTAGAAGTGAAAGGCTCTCTCTCTCTTTACCAGTTACCCTGACCCTGGCACTAGCATCTGCTGCAATTCTGATGCAGGAGCACAGAATGCTGTCCTGGGGAGAGAGACTGCCAATGAGGGTATGTCTACACAGCAAAGAAAAATCAGCCACTGGCCAGTGCCAGGTGACTCAGGCTCATGGGGCTCCGCCTGTGGGACTGTTTCATTACTGGGTAGACTTCTGGGCTCAGACTGGAGCCCGAACTCTGGGACCCTCCCAACCTGCAGGACCTAAAGCCCAGGCTCAAGTCCAAGCCTGGAAGTCTACACAGCAATGAAACAGTCCTGCATCCTAAGCCCTATGAACCCCAGTCGGCCGGCATGGGCCAGCCGTGGGTTTTTCTTTGCTGTGCAGATGTACCCTGAGAAGGCAGTTTCAGCTGGGAACGGGGTTTGGAATCCGCCCAAAGGGGGCAGCTGGAAAAAGCTGTTAGAGAAGAAGGAGGGAAGAAGAAGAATCTAAATGCTGAGCTACCAGATGAAGCAGAGTTGGGGAAGGAGGTGAGGTGATAAAATAAAAGAAGAACAGGAGAATAAAAGTAGGGGACTGGGAAGAGAGATGGAGGAAAGAAGGAAAATTTGAAAAGTTTCAGATCAGGAGAAGCAGAAAAAAATAGAGCTGGGTATGTGACCAGACACTATTAGAGAAGGGAAGTAGAGGGAAATAAAAGCCACAAATGTACCGGAGAGAGAGTATCAATGGAAAAAACTGAAAGGAAATATAACTGGTGAAAAAGGGAA